AGAAAGACAGACAGACAGACAGACAGAGAGAAACAGAAAGAGAAACACACATACATACACACGCACGCATGCACACACGTACACGCACGCGCGCGCGCGCACACGCACGCACGCACGCAGAAAGAGAGAGAGAGAGAAGGTTGGGGGGGGGGAGGAGGCGGGTAACCACAGGGTCCTTCCAAGGCGCCACAAGCCCCTCTAGCGGGCACTTACAGGGGAACCGTGCCCCGTTTTTAGCCTCTCATCAAGAAAGAGAAAAATAAATGGAGAGAGAAGCAGGCCAGCGACCTCATCAAGGCGCTCTTGTGTAAATCTCTACAGGCGCCCGGACACTCCGCGGACTCGTGTGCGTTTTTTGTGTTTTGTTCCGACAGGTGGACGTGTTGGTTGAAACATCTACCTGAGTTCGATTCCCGTGTGGGGAGAAATTTTATGAAGTGTATCCATCTTACCGCTTTGACGTTGTATCCCCCTCAGTCCGAGTCGAAGCCCGCCTTGTAGATGTTCTAATTATGTCAGTGGGCGTATAAATTACCTACATTTAAACAAAACGAAAAAAGGCTCTAGAGTCTTCTTTCGCAGTTCCATTACAATTAGGGTCCTGTCGGTTGATTATAATTGTTTAATAATTCCAACTTTTTCCCTCGGGAGGTTGCAGGGCACCACTGGTATGTCCAATTTATGCACTTTCCTCTGTTGTTTCTATCTGTCAGTCCTACTTTTTCTCAACTCAAAATTCCCACTATCGTGTCGATATGCTTCTCTTTACTCAAACAAACAAACCACCAGCTTCCCTCCTATCAGCAAAGATACTACAGTAGGCTGTGCTATCTTTGCTATCAGTCGCCATCTCATCAGTCTAAGGTACCTCCCACTATGAAAATTTGAATAATGCTCATTAACTTCGGTCTTCGTAAACACGGGTGTGTGGTGCCTGAAACTCGCAACGATCCACCCACCGTAACTTACGACTTCATATGCCAGCAATAATTAGTTGTCAGACTCTTAATCGCTCCAAGCGATATCACTCACAACTGAGTCAAGTCCGACGTTACTGTACCTCCCTCTCCCTCTTGCTTATCCTCTTTTCTTCCCATCCTCCTCCTGTCTCTCTCATTCCATCTCTCTCCCATTTCTTTTGTTTCTCTCTCTCTCTCTCTCTCTCTCTCTCTCTCTCTCTCTCTCTCTCTCTCTGTGTCCCATTTCTCCCTTCCCCCACCCCACCCCACCCATCTTCCTAATTACCAAGGTACGCAACTCGAGCCGTGAGTCCTCGAGTGGGCCTCACATAAACCTTCCCGTCCGCGATAATCACGCCCAAACTAATAGACTGTGCGCCCTAGCAGGCGGGCCCAGAATAGCGGAACGATCATGACAGCCAAGACATGATGGCGGCCCTCTGCCCGAGCTATGGATGCCTCATTAACTTTGAATAAAATGAACGCAAGGCCGAGTGGCCACACCTTGCTTGGTCGTAAATACGCCTTGGGGGTCCAGTGTCAGTTGAGATTGGACGTCATCGATAGTCGACAACAACAACGAGGACGAGGAAGACCATGTACTTTCCGATACACTATCTTTCGATTCTCGATGTCATAGCGCCCCCTTTTCGTACCCTCCTATTTTAGTTCTTCTTTCGTGAGAAAAGAAAGCCAATGAGGAAAGGAAAGAGGAGCGACGGATTGAAGGACTATGAAAGATCCATTTTGTTTGTTTTGAGTGTATTTATTTTGTGAAGAGAAACATGGAGGGTATGCATTGTCTCTGTCAGATTTTAGTAGTGGCTTGAGGATGGGGGGGGGGGGGGGACGGGGGGTCCAAGATGCTCCCCCTTTTTTGCATGCTCCTACTACAGGTTAAGACTGGACTGTTGTTTGGCGTCTGACATGTCGAAATATCAGCAAGGAGAAGACCATGTAAGGCATCCGTGTTCTTGTTCTCATCAGCAGCGTGATGAAGAAATGCTGTTGGGCAGAGCTTCCAAGATCTGTTTACTTTGAGCTGGGGAGAGATGGGTTAACAATACAATGAAAAAAGAGTCCAATTAATTTCAGCGAAATTGGGTCTTAGCGAATCTTTGTACAAGTTGGGGGAATCCAAAAACCGGACGCAGTTCTGGATCGAATATCGACCCAGCCAGACTCATCATTGTCGAATCTCAACAAGTATCGGGATTACTTTGGACGGTATCGAATAAGTCCACCTCCACATGTCAGTGACCTCCCATGAAGAGCGACAAATCATCCCATGTTTGTTGTGTGTTGTCTCCCCTTTTGTTGGGGCTAAAATCGTTGTGCCCTCTGTCTGCACGATCT